TACCCGTAGTGGTTTTATTCTCCTAGATGCTCCTGTCCTGAAATAATTTCCCTAACTTCATGTTCAAATGGATCACTGTTGGTATGGAAACAACTGATTTTTGTTTGGTGACATTGTACCTTGAAACTTCGGTAAATCTATTAGTTCTAAAGGCTTTCTAGAAAACACTTTGGGATTTTCAATATATAGGATTGTATGAATAGAGACCATTTTACTTTTTCCCAATATTTTAATTATTTTTAATTTTTGTCTTATTGCTTCTAAAACAGTATCAAATAGAAGCAGAAAGAGCCAGCACCCTTGTCTTATTCCTGATTTCAAGGGGAAGCCACTTGAACTTGTTTGAAAAGCATGTTCTAGTATTACAAAATGTGTAAAAGGTAAATGTTTACTCCATCTGACCAAAATTATGCTCACTTACATGAACTCTTGAACATAATTTTGGGACTAGATCTGGAAAAAAAAATGATAGAAAGTTTATGCTTACATTTTAAAGGCAGTTACAAAACTGTCCAATTTGCCAGGCCATATCGGGGTGGGAGGGGAAGAAATACTGTTCTCATAGAAGTGATCGCTAGTTTTTCGTTTCATCTATGGCACATGTTTTAAGCATAGGAGTTACATGTGGGAGTGCTAACCTCCAGGTCTGAAGCTGAAACCATCACCGCTCCTCAGGAGAAAGGCGGGGGTTTCTACTCTGGTAAAGAGTCACCATCTCGGGAACTTGGAAGGGCAGTTCCACCTTGTCCGACAGGGTCACTATGAGTAGGCACTGAATTGATGTCACTGAAGTTTGGGAGCTTTTAAGCATTATGTCACTTTTTTAAAAAAAGAAGAGCTGATTAATGTTTTCCACACTGTTTGGTTTCCTTGTGTTAAAAAGAAATGTTACGTTTCCCCCAATTGTCCAGGTGATTTTTTTTAACTTAAACTTACAGTCATCCTAATTTCCACAAAGGAATCCTCAGAGGAGCCACTGGAGTTGAGCTTGAGTTGTAATTCAGACACAATGCCCAGAAGGTCGGCCTTCTCAGCTTGAAGGCGAATCATCTGTGTCTTCAGCTGCTCCAGTTCTTGCTCCGGCTCTGTCTTGGGAAACTCGGAGTTGCCAGTGGGGTTCTGGAAATGACAAGGACACTGAAGCAAACGACAATTTCATCCAAGACCAGGCCTTCCAACTTAATTCTATCCCATCCCCGTTTGACAAGGCAGTTTTTCAATTATCTTGGCCCCCTATGCTTTATAGAACATTCTTGGTTTATTTGACAACTTATTTCAATTTAACATTTAATGGAAAATTTTACATTATTTTATTGTACTCAATAGTAAAAGCATCCTGTGACAAGAAAGGCAGGCCTCCTCAGACACGGAAATAACTTAATACCCTGTTTCCCTGGAAATAAGACAGTGTCTTATATTAATGTTTGCTCCCCAAAATGCACTAGGTCATATTTTCAGGGGATGTCTTATTTTTCCATGAAGAATACGGTACACATTTATTGTTTATTGTTTTATTAAAA